ATGAGATATATAAATACATAAGAATTGTGTGTTAGATATGTAAATTTCCATTGTGTGTTAGATATGTTAAATATAAGAATGATGTTCTAGGCACAAGTATGTAATGGGGTAAGCTGCACAACTATGTCGAGTGGCTATCTAAAAGTCGCCGGCGGCGGTGTTGTCCGCCAGAATTCACCGGCCCACATTTCGCTCCCTTTCCCAGCCCCGCCCCTTTCCACCTCCACCACAGTCAATTCTCGGTTCAGCCGGTAAACTTCCACCCCAACCACCAAATCCCCATTCTGACCCCGCACCGCCATCCCCGCGCTCCCCTTCTTCCCTTTCCTTTTCACCACCAGCCCCTTCCCACTCCCTATCTCCTCCACCCTCCGGAGCACCGCCTCCGGCACCTCGCTGATTACGAACCGTTCCCTCTCCACCATCTCTCCGATTAACCCCGAAAGATCCAATCCCGATGCCAATCCGATAATGTCGAAAGCATTTAGCTCCCTGTCCTCAACCTCCAACTCTTCTGCCTTAGATGATACCTTTCCATCCTCCGGCAAAATCTCCATCGCCGCCCATTCCCCTGCTTCGATCCTTTCTGCAACCCAAGGATCACGGAAAATCTCATTTACGGTGATCCGCGTATCGGGATTCGTGTCCAGAAGACGACCGATGAGGTGTTTGAGATTCGGCGAGGTCCATTTTGGGCATCGGTATTCTCCGCGGTAAATCTTGCGGTACAGTGTCGCGATATTGGTGTCATTGAAAGGAAGATAACCGGCGTTCAGGGCGAACAGAACGACGCCGCAGGACCATATATCGGCAACGGCGGGGCGGTAGCCCTTTTGTGTGAGGATCTCTGGGGCAACGTAGGCCGGAGTGCCGCAAAGCGTGTGGAAGAGCCCGTCGACGGGATTCTTATCAGGGGCTGCAGCGAGGCCGAAGTCGCAGAGCTTGAGATCGCAGTTTTCGTCGAGGAGGAGGTTCTCAAGCTTGAGGTCGCGGTGGAAGATACCGTGGGAGTGCCCATAAGCGACGGCGGAGATGAGCTGCCGGAAATAGCGGCGGGAGAGGTGTTCGGTTAAGCGGCCAAAGGAGGCTATGCGGGAGAAGAGATCGCCTCCCATGGCGAGATCGAGGACGAAGTGAATCTTGGTGCGGGAGGCAAGGACTTCATGGATGCGGATAATGTTTGGGTGGCGGAGGCGGCGGAGGATGGCGGCCTCGCGTTTAATGTGGTTAAAAAGGTCTTTTTTGGCGACAAGATATTTGTTGAAGGATTTGATGGCCACGTTCTGTCCGGCGAGAAGGTTTTGGGCTTCGTAGACTTTAGCGGAGGATCCACAGCCGAGGAGGCGGACAAGTCGGTATTTGCCGAGGAGGATATTGGATTCTATGGCACTTTCTAGTTGCGATTGTACTTGGGAAGAAGCCGGCATGATTGGTTCTATCCTGCACTTGTTCTGTCCTGGAGAGTTTTATGCGTGGAGCGTATCCTGCCGCGCAATCTCGTTTTCCATGCGTTTCTCACTGTGTCGCGTATATGACAAAATTTTCCGTGTTTG